GCTTAATACCCGCAGACACATTTACACCAGATGAAGGCTGTACAGGCTGAGGCGCTGGCACACCTCCACTGATAACCGGCGGCTGCTTAATACCCGCAGACACATTTACACCAGATGAAGGCTGTACAGGCTGAGCGGCTGGCACACCTCCAGTACTACTATAAAAATGCAAAGCATTCTGAAAGGTTGTCCCCTGTTGGGCGGTAGCAGCAGTAGAAACAAAGGATGTCGGAGGCGCAGCACTCGTTGTTCCATGGATCGACAAATCCCTTCCAATTAAGTCAGTGGTTGAAGGTGTTGTCATGAGTTGTGATGGGAGAAAATTTGATGTGTTCGCTCCCACAGCCTGTGACAACGTGTCACCTGGAGGTGCAACAGTCGACACGGAATATCCACCGGGTGTAGGAAGTGATGATGACGAGTAAGGTGTGCTTGTGTACCCTTGATAAACAGGGGGTTTCGTTATTTGTGTGTTACTTTGTTCTTGGACTAGAGGTTGCGGTACCGATGCAACAGCCACCGGAAATGAAACAGAAGGTGCTTTTTTATCATCTAATGGGACATTGGGTACACTTTCCACTGAGGATCCTTCTCTTCCTTCAGAACGTGCACTTGAAGAGGAGCGAGAAGATGAAGAATTGCTACTGCTACTACTGCTAAAACTAGAGGAATATGTTGATGTCGATCTTGATGAAAGTACCTTATTACTTCCAAAAGTACCATCTATTGTTGATTGAACGATGATATTTATATATTTGGTTAATTCTTGAACTTCCACAGCAAGTTTTTTGATAAACTTAACATGTTGATGGTGCAAAGAAGAGATTTGTACTTCCAGTGGTTGATGATAAACTGCCGTAACATAACATAAGCTAGTTCCCAAACACTGCAACTGAAATAGTACCTGGTACATAAGAAAATGAGCCACACTTCCTTCACGAGGAATAGGTAACTTATTTACAGGGTTACGACGAGTTTTTTCATCTGAAGAAACATTGGTATAACTCTCTCCTGCAGATTCTGCAAGTTGATTGGCAAGTTGAAGTGCAATGTTAGCAAGTTTTGATATTCCTTGTACAAGATTATCAACTTTATCTATCATTGGCTTCGACTTTTCGTTTACGGTAACTGCGTTTAGTGGAGTAAATTCACGTTTTAACGTAGCGTAAAGGGTTCCACAATTAGATTGTATCTGGTATGCTACATCATATTGTAAAATATAGAGTAACGTTTTCTTCTTTGCTGTACCCACAGTTTCTACTATTCTTCTTCCTCCTCCTCCTCTATTTTTACTACCGGATCTGCTTCTAATAACGTTATTTTTACTCTCTCCATGATAATTTTGACTATCTGTTCCCTTTTTTTCTAATGAAGGATCATTCACTGCTACAACAGTTCCTGTTTCCTCTCCTGATGTTATCACTCCTGATGAGGAATGATGATCACTCTTTGTAGATTTAATTTTCTTCTTTTTTTTATTCTCTTTATTGTCAACTATCACACGAATAACATACGGTTTCCCATTCATAATCAAATGACCATTTGATGTAGGCAATGTTGATGGTCCCGTAGTTGTAGGAATTGACATACATGCGGGAGAAGAAGAGACAGAAGGTGAAGAAATATTGTTAACCGTAACTACTCGACATGACATCTCTGCATATCCCATTATCTGCCCGTTAGCATCACACATTGCATAATTTGCATGCTGACGAGAATCCGCTGCTCTCTCTGTCATCAAAGGACATGGACACACCCATGTTAAAGATGCTGCTGCAGTAACTGATTCTATGCTAGCACCTGATGTACGTATCTGGTTCTCATCATATAAACGACAGAAACACTCTGCAGGAAACAACCTACGAATTTCATTATCATCAAGTTGAAACTCCGCCTTATGACAGACACAGTACGTCAGAGACAATATACGATCACCCGCTGGGGATGCCTCTATCACACCACCTCCACCGCCTTGTTGTGGACGGATAAAAATCTCTGGGAACGTTGAGAAACGAACGGAGAAGACAATTCGCGCAGAAGAGCTCATATTTAAAAGACCATAGAGTCTCTTCACAGCTATCTCTAAACGATACTTTCGCATTTCTCTTGAGTAATGCTCAACAGAAGGCAACGTAATCACACTGCCTACTTTTTCCTCTCTTTGTTTTTTCTTTTTGTGTGTGTGTACTTGATTCTGCAGTTGCAGCTCTTGCTGCTGATGGTAGTGATGATGGAGTTTCTTTTTCTTTTCTTCTGTTTTTTTTTTCCTTTTGTTTACTAGTCTTGGTTTTTGCAGAAAAATCACCGAATCACACCTACAAAATAAAAGTATCCATAAGAAAGAAGCCAAAAATAAAAAGATGTCCAATACAAGAGTTACAACCACATATAGTTCAAAGTCAAATGAAAAAAAAAAAAAAAAAACATATCATTTATAAACTTGATTTATCAAGTTGTTACAATATATGAATAAGTATACACAATATATATATATATATATATATGCATGTGTCTGTGTGTATACGGATACGTTCTGTGAGGGGTACCGTGAAGCTAAAGAGTAAAGAACTGCAAAAAAAAAAAAATAAAATAATAAGAATAGCAAAAAAAAAAAAAAGAAATATGTTTTCTTCCTTTTTTTTTTACAGTTCCGATTCTACCAACTTCTGCAGTTTTTCTCTCTAAAGATCTTCACCATCCGAGTTACTGTCACCATCCTTCTTAACCTTGTATTTGCCTCGTTGATAAACCTGGTCCACCTTGTCTTGTATACCCACGCGTGCATTAGGAACACTACCTGCCACAAGTTCTGGGTTCTGCATTAATACAGCCTGAGTTGGTATCGCTGCCTTATCTCTAATACGTCCTTTATTTACTACAACTTCTCCACGCTTCCCAATGGAAGATGGATCAACACCCTCCTTAAGACTTTGAGCTGAAAGTTTAGCAAGCATTGCATCTTGTTGCTCTTGAAGGGCATGTACTTTATCAAGTTTACCCTTCTTACGTCGTTTCATTGGTGTAGTACCTGTATCTGAAGATGTTGAAGAAGATGTTGCTGTTCCTGTGGATGATGTACTACTACCAGTTTCAGTAAGATTCGGACGACGAAATATGGCTTTTGAACCTGTTTTACCACGATCAATATATGCACGGCGACTAATTTCACGTTCGGTATCTGTCTCCTCCATACTACGCGCTACTCGTACATCTGCCTCACGTTCCTCTTCTTCACGAGAAATATCATCAATAGTTTCAGAGAGGGCACGTGAATCATCATCCTTTAATCCTTCTAGTTCTTCTTCTCTTGAACTCACCAATGTACGTAGCAATTGTTCTTCCATACTACTACGACTACTGTCCTGATGTGGTTGATGTACAGTAGCAGTAGAGTCTGGGTGTTCGGCAAAGTGATTAGACAAAAGACCCTCTGGTACTTCCATAAGATTTCCATCACGATCTTCCAGTAATGGCATCTGACCAGCAAAGTTTAGAGGATATGGTTTTTTACTACCAACAACATACTTGTCTAATTCTTTTTCAATGTGTGCCTGTATTTTTGATTGTGGAATGTATTGAATGAGACTCATATTCTGTAATCGTTCACTTGCACGTTCATACCAGAAGAAGAATTGACGTTCATGAAATTCCCGTAAAAGGTCTAAATGTTTTTTCTTTAGTACTTGACGTCCTTCTGTCATTTGTTGTGTCTCTACACGTTTCTTTTCTTGTTCTTCCATCTCATACTCCCATTGAGCAAGTTGGGCCGCCTTTGTAATATTATACTTATAAATATACTCATCAGCGTTAACACGGAATGACTCAAACCATTGTCGTTTGTAGACTTTTCGTAAATGTTCGAACTGGGCTTCATGTACATTACGCCAGAGTTCGTTCTGTTTCCACATCCAGTGACGGTAGGGAGTTAGGAAACCAGTCATCTTACGACCATGTTCAGATTTAGAGGGTAGATTGTAATACGGCCGCATCTGCCGTCTGCACACAAGCGTGCAGCGCATCATTATTTCAGATTTCTTTTTCTCTGTCTTTCTCTCTCTACCTCTATCCCTCTCTTTTTTATCTGCGGGATCACTAATTTCACTACTATCTCGCTATATATATATATATATATATATAGAGAGAGAGAGAGAGAGAGAACAATTGTTTATGTAAATAATAAAAATAAGAGAAGAATAGGGAAAAAAACAATTTTAGTTTCATTAACGAAACAAAAAGAGGGAAATCATTACATAATGATAATTAAAAGAAAAAGAAAAATGGGGACCTGTTTACAACAAACAATAAATAGAAACGAAAAAAAAAAAAAATGCCAATCATAACAACTCTACTTTTCTCTCCTTACACTTTCCAAAGAAAGGCAGCAAAGTGTAAAAAGCAGCAAAAAAAAAAAAACGATTAGAGGGAATAGAGTGTACGTATTGGCATTTATGTATGATAGAAGTGGGATATCTCATAATCTACTTACTTTACTTCCCTTTTCCTTGTATTAAACTTGATGCAAAAGAGCAGATTCACTTGTGTGTATCGATGGGACAGGCAACAATGTAAGACTTTTAGTTAATTCTCGTAATGTATCCTTAATCATATCAGAGTTTTCTTCTAAGAAGGGTATAGTACGAGTAACCGGCTCCATCAAGAGCTCTGCGTTTTTTTCCATAGCCTTTGGAAATGGAAACATAACACGTAAAAGATCCTGTTCCTGTGGTTGTAAAAGAATATTTTCAATTTCTTGAAAACACTCTACTTCTGTAGAGACATCAACTCGTTCCACTCGCTGCAAGAGAACATCCGTGAATACGGCCTGTCGGCGTACTTCCATCCATCGTTCTATAAGTAGTTCCTTTTCTTTTTGAATTGCTTCCTTATCACTCACCACATGTGTTTCTGTAGTAATTTCATGAGGTTTTGTGTAACTATTATAATAAGCCTCTGCTATATCTGCAGAATATTCATTCGTATCGGCGGAGTTTCCAGAACCCACAAAAAAGGTTTTATCATTTTCCAAATTGTTATCTATACCTGTACCAGCGGTAGGAGGAGATGTCTCCTCAATATAACCTGTCTCATTGCCTTCATATTGTGTAGGACTCCTACCCGCGCTTTTATTATTTCCATTCACACCATTGTCATTACTAAAGCCATTCGTAATAGAAGCACTAGTAGTATTAGTACTAATCCCACCACCAGATTTACTACCCTTTCCACACAACATTCGGTAACATTCTCTACAAACACGAACAGGTGTTTGTAGTCCACGTGTAGGAATAGTGCAATTGAAGTTTGAGCAATTTCTGCAAAAAACATAACCACAGTTACGGCAATGATGACGTCGTACACTAATAGAGAAGAGAACATGGCAACTATGACACTCAGGTGCTTCTGAGTCTTCTTGCCAGTGTTCATTCCTTGAGTTTGCGGTTCCCATCCTGGAGTAGAGGAGAGGGTTTCGTTCCTCCTACAATTACGGAAACAGAGAAACTTTATATATTCCTCTTACTAGTATACTAAAACATGTGTGTATATATACAGAAAGAGAGAATGGATATTCCCGTAAATAAAGTAGCAAAAAAAAAAAGGAGAAAGAATTATTTATAGGAAAAAAAAAAAAAAAAAAAAAACACAAAAAACAAAGTTAAACCAGTTTTTCTTTAT